TAAGACAACATAAGAAATCAATGCAAGTGATGCTAACACGTATCGGGTTCATTGCTGCTATTTCAGAATCAGCTAGAATTCAGACATTTCACCAGGGTGAAGAATGGCAAACAGTAACATTTCAAACCACAGAAACAGCTTGAGGGCTTTCACTTCCCTAAGAGCTTGAGAAAAGTTTGAGAGACAGCATCCACAAAACAGACAGGAGCCGGAGAGATGTCTCAGTGGTTATGGCTCACTGTTCCAGCAAAGGACCCAGGTTAAGTTCCCAGCACCCACACCAGGTGGCTCACAACCACCTTAACTCTAGCTCCAGGGATCTGACGCCCTCTTCTGGCCTCACAGGTAACTGCACTTTTGTGAACACATGCATATATACACATAAATAAGGCGATTTTAATAAATAAATATAATTAGAGACTGGAAGTAAGGCTCGGTTGGTAGACTGCTTGCCTAGCATGCACCAAGCCCTGGGCTTGATCCCCTGTACCATACCAACAAGGTGTAGCAGCATATAATCCCAGCACTCAGGACCCAGAGACAGGAGGATCAGTAGTTCAAGGCCAGTCCCTAGACTATAGCAATTCCGAGGCCAGTCTGGAATATATGAGACCCTTGCTCAACAAGTAAACAATAGGGCTGATGAGATGGTTCAGAGGGTAAAGGCACCTGCTGCCAAGCCTGTTGACCCATAGAAGAGGAAGGAAGGAAATGATTCTTGCAAGCTGTCTGCACAAACACCCTGGCAAATGCATGCATGCACATGAACAGGAGTCTCTCACATGCATGCGTACACACACGCACGCACGCACATGTGCGCACTAAGTAAGAAATGCAATACAGAAAATGACAAGAGAAAAAGACAGGTTTTCAAGCCAGATCTTTGTCATGTGATAGTGGCCAAACGAGGGAGCGAGGAGAAAACATGGGAACAGCTCAGATGTCCAATGACAGGAAAATGGCTGAGTAAATAATGGAGCCTCCATTTGGTGGAACATTATGCAGTCATTAAAAATTATGTCCTCGAATCGTATTTATTGTTGTTGGAAATTGCTCAGCATGTTCAACACACTGTTAAGAGATTTAAAAGAAAAAAAAATGAAAGAAAGCCATTTTCACAACAGCCGCGATTTACAGGGAAGTCAGGAAATGGAATCCTGGGAAATTATCAACAGCAGATGGTCCCGCAAGCTCCCAGAGAGCACAGTGGGAGTCACGGGGGTATCTAGGGGAGGGGCTAGACACCCACCACCATGCTTCTTGCTCATTCGCGGTCTACTTTTAAACTTACGAGGAGACCAAACACCCGAAACCAACATGCCCACGTTCACCCCCAGGGCAGCAGAGGCGTCCTCCAAGCCCCTGGCTTCCTATGCTTGATTCTCTTCCCAGTCTGATGTCAGCATTTGGGGACCACTGTGCCTGTGCCTGCGAGAGTTCCCAATCCTCACCCAAGCTGCAAACTTAAGGTCTCGTCTAAACGGCAAGATGGTGGAGGTGGGGCCTCTGCCAGGGCGGAAGTCTTTGGGGCATTGCTTTTCCCTGGGGCCACGGACTGTTAACAAGTGTCACTGCCATCTGCTGCCTGTTCCGCCGGCACACGTCCGCCCACGTCCGCCCGTTCTCCTCATTACAGTGCATAAATCCCTCTGCACGCCCCACCTCCACCTGCCACATCTGTCTGCAATTTGTGCAGTCGCTGGTGCAGGGGCTTGTGCAGAAACGAGTTCTGTAGGACGCTGCGGGACTCCAGGTGGAATGCTCTCAGGGACTGGACATGTCCAGCCACTAGCTTTTCAGGGACCCTGTGGCCTTGAGTGCATGGGCTTGGGGAGGAGGCGGGGTGCCATTGGCCTAGAAGCCAGACAGGTAGTCTGAGCTTCTGAGATCTGAGAAGGCAGGCCTTGCCTCTGGCATCTGCCAATCACTGGGCTTCTCTATAGATCACAGGAAGTAGTGAGCCAGCCATCCTGCACATCACTCAACCCTCTCGGCTTAAGAGGCAGCCACTCTCTCATTGCCCTGAAGGTGAGAAACACGGGCACTACCATTACCTCAAAGGAATGCAGGTTCAGGCAGGTTGGGAAATTTAGACAAGGTCAAAATTAGTGAGAGGTCGAGCCAGATGTGGCAGCGGTTCATACCTGCAATCCCAGTCCTTGGGAGGCCGAGGCAGAGGGATCACAGTGACCTGGTGGCTAGCCTAGGCTATATAGCGAGTGCAAGGCTAGCCTAGGGTATAAAGGAAAATGTGAAGGGATAGATAGAGCTGGGGTACAAGCTCAGTTAAAATCTGACTCCAGAGCTGGCCACCCCGTGGCTGAGCTAAAGTAGTTTCCAAGCCCCTATCATTCCCAGTTGGCTCTCTCTCTAGCATGGTCATTGAAGAGCAAACACAGCTGAGAATTCTGCTCCTGGCCAAGGGCAGGGGAGGAAAGGTCCTCTGTCCCTGGAATAAACTCTGGGAAAGGTGCAAGAGGCAGAGTCTGGTGGCTTCCCAAGCCAGCACCAACTCTGCATGGAGTGTCAGGCTCGGCAAGACCAAGGACCTGGGCATGTACAGCCTGGGCTGAGCAGCACCAAGGAGACTCCAGGCCATGAGACTCCATAGTGAAGATGGCAGGAGATATTATGAGGTCCTTGAGCAGAGTAAAGGACAGACACCTAGGTTGGAATGGACCTCTAGATAGCTGCACGGAGAAAAAGCAGGCACCTTTGGAAAATGACTTCCCAAGCATGCAGCCATTATGTAGTAGCTGGGTCACAATGCCTACACCATCAATACCCAGTCACGGCATCCCTGACTGTGGTGGTCTGAATAAAAATCACCCCCATCACCCATAGGGAGTGGCACTATCAGAAGGTGTGACCTTGGTAGGGTAGGTGTGGCCTTGTTGGAGGAAGCACGGCAGTGGGGGTGGGCTTTGAGATTTCAACCGCTCAAGCCAGGCCCAATGGCTCCCTCTCTTCCTGCTGCCTGTGGGTCTGGATGTAGAACTCTTGGCTACCTCTCCAGCACCACATCTGCCTGTGTGCTGCCGTGTTTCCCTCCATGACTATAACGGGCTAAGTCTCTGAACTGCAGGCCGGCCCCAATTAAATATTTTCCTTTGTAAGAGGTGCCACGGTCGTGGTGTCTCTTCGCAGCAATGGAAACCGTAACTAACACATCGCTAAAATAAGATCCCCCTCATATGCCTTGAAAGCTGTACACACTCATCCTCTCGATGGCTCCTTACACACCCTGGGGGTGTGTCAATGATGTGTCACAGGACCACCTGCTCAGTCAGCTGTGCATACCAAAGCAAGGGTCAGGGAAAGCTGCTGGGATGTAGGCGGCTCATCAGCCAACAAAAGTCCCTCTTCCTTTGTGAGAACTTCACCAGGGCAAAGCTAGACAGCAAGAAGGTTCATACCCCAGACTCCTCGCTGCTCTACAGCAATGCGTGACCAGGCTCCCGACAGGACACCTGACCTGAGCCACCACTGTGGTCCCTTGCATGATGTCTCATAGACCTGGAGGCTGAACCGCTCCTCTCCCCAACCTGAGATGCTCATCCAGGACTGGTCAAATGCAAACCTTGACAGCTCCCGGTGTCACGGTGGTTGAAGTAACAAGGAAGCTTTGGCTTCAGGGACACAGCTTTTCTAGATGTCTGACAGACATGGTCAACCCGCAGCCCTCGGGGAGGGCACAGAATCATAGACTGACTTAAAACATGAGACTTGTTTTTGCAATTCTTTACGCTTTGTGACTGGACTGCACGGTTCTCAGGTGTGAACCTTTGCAGATGACATCTGTCACAAATGTCAAAAGGTTGAATGCACTCTTTCAAGTCAGCATTATGCACACCCCAAAAGCTGTTCTCTGGAGACACTGTAGACCAATTTCTCAAAGCACAGGGCAGCTGCATCTTAGACAAGCTTCCTATCTTTCTCAAAAAACTGTCTGGAACCTTCCCTGAAGCCCGGAGAATGGGCAAGTAGCCTTGCAGGAGGAGAAAAGGAACCGAGAGCTATTTCAGGGAACCTGGTTGCACTTGAGGCTCGTTGGTGTGTAATCTTTGGCCAGCTGGTAACCACAAAACTGGGGTCCAGCAAGAGATTTCCAACACACCTGCAGAGCTTCAAGGGTCTCCCCAGAGCTAGGGCTGCACAATGCCGCATCTCAAAGGGAAACTACAATGGTCTGAATGATGAGAATACACTCGGCCCCTTCTCAGAGCCTGCCTTGGGGAACAGGAGTATAAGTGGGGCCGCAGGCACTTCTCCAGCAGAGCCCAGCACAAGCTCAGTCCTGAGCAGGGAGGTCCCACAGGCTCCAAGAATGCAGGATAGCCTCAGCAGTAGCTCAGTGTCTTGGTCTATCAGAGATGACTTCCGAGGACCCACCCATGCCTGAGAATCTGTGGGCAGTTAATAGTTGTGTAAAGGCACGGCAGACGTCTGCTGGTAAGGTGCCCGCGTTCCTAAAAACAGCGCTTCACCATACTCTTGTAAGCAGCCCTAATGAGACTCAATGTGGGTGAGGGGGAACGCAGAAGAGGGCCTGGCTGGAAAGAGGAAGGGAGCAGTGGAGTGGGAGGGACAAGAGAGGGTGATGGGGATAAATGTGATTAAAATACGCTATATACGTGTATGAAAATGTCCTAACAATCCCGTTATTATATAAAATATATACTAACAAAGATTTCAAATAAATTTGTTGTTATTGTTTCGAGACAGGGTTTCTCTGTGTAACAGCCCTGGTTATCCTGGAACTGACTCTGTAGAGCAGGCTGAACTTGCAGACACCTGCTTGCCTCTACCTCCTAAGTGCTGGGATTAAAGGCACATGCAGCCTTAATTTGAAGACTTCCTTGTCTTCAAATACACTTTTTTAAAAGCCCACTTGCTATTCACTCCTCAGGGCTACTGTCACCCTGAGACAGGATATGACAGGGACCAACTCCAGGAAGCTCAGAATGGCCCAAGCCTGTCCCCTGTTGCGGGTCACTCACCTTGCAAGGCTTCTTTGGCCCTGGCCAGCTCCTGCTCCTTCTGTACCAGCTGCACCCGAAGCTCTGTGGCTGAGAGGACCTCGGAGCACTTGCCGCCCTGTGACTCCTCCAGGTCCTTGGCCAGCATCTCCTTCATCTGCCGGAGAAGGTGCACTTCCTCCTGAAGCTGGACCACTTCCTCCCGCAGGAGCACTAGGGGACAAGAGCAGCTGGTCAGAGGTGGGGGGACCTGGAAGGGCTCAGGTGACTCCTGTGAGCTGTGCACACAGGACCTTTTCCCAAGTGGGCCCTGGACCCACACCTGCCACTCTCCTGAGCCGCCGATGCTTCTGTGACCACTCAGCATCCCCCTGCCGGCTACAGACACAGGAATCAACATTCTGACCACAAGTCACCCCATGCCTAGGGAAGTTCTATCTGTGATTTCTTGTAGACTCCCCCAAACCTGCGCCTGGCACCAACAGGATCCCCACTTTACACATCAGGCCACTGATGCTCAGAGAGGTGAAGGAACTCTGAAAGGCCAGGCTATGGTGTGCCACTGTGTGACTCTGGTGGTGAGTCAGGGTTTGGATAGTGTCACACTGGAGAATTTGTGACTAAGGGCAGTTACATCTTGTAGAGCACATGCCCCATGGGAGGAGGGGGTTCTATAACCCACAGAGAACATAGCATTGACAGGCATAACCCCAAGAATGGGGGCACCATGGGTGTAGGAAATAACAGCATCTATATGCAGCCCTGTGTGCGCATCCCGAGAGCCTTGCATCTTCAGAAGGTACCCAGGTAATGAGACTTTAAAGATGACAGCTCATGGAACATCACCCGCCACTGCAGTCCTGCAGGCCCTGGGGTGTCCCTTTAAGACCAATAAACCTCAAACTGCCAGGAGTGCTGGGGGCAGCACTGTGCCCTCACAGGGGCGGGTGACAGGAGGGGGCATGTACAGGTCGTGCCTTCGTGTACACGATCATATGTAGGCCTTTGTGATGATCACATTTACGATGTCACGTCAAGAATGAAGCTACCAGGTGTGGTAGCACACTTGCTTCACACCAGTGTAAGAGGTCGGTCTGGGCTAATAATGGATTCAAGGCTAGCCTGGGCTATATAGTTTTCTTAACCTTCTCCACCCTCTAAAAAAAAGAGGTGGCAGGGGAAAGAACCAAGCTGAAGGACACAGTGACAGCTCCGGAAACAGCCCCAGGGTCTCCGCTGTAGGCAGGTCCAGCTCCGTTCCCTCCCATTCCCAGCCACAACAGCCAAGGTCTTTCCTACTTCCCATCATCCTCCAGCTTTCCCTACGCTCACCCCCTTCACGTGACACACATCTGTGCTCCACTGCACATCCTCAGGCAGGTTCTTTCCCCAAAGACCCCGGAGTGGGGAGGCACCTGGCTGCTCTGTCTTATACTGGTGGACTCCAGTGGAGGCTGCTGACTGTGACATCCCCCTGAAAACCTGCAGAGTAAGTTTGCGTGGTCCTGGCCATTCCTCTCTCCAGGTGGGAGGTTGGATCACAAAGGACCTTAACCCCAGCCACCTGTCCCTTACTCTGGCTTGCCATCTTTAGTGGCACCCAAGTCTCTGGAACTCTCCTCCCCTTTATCAGTGGTCTTCATTTGCCCATCCTGATATTAAACGAATGGCTTCGATGTGTCTTCAAGGCTCTCTGAGGAAGACACTGAGTTCTTATTGTCCACGCAGGCAGTGGTTCCCAAGAGGCCCTGTCAGTCCCTTGCCAACTCTTCCACAAATTTTATGTCCTTTCTTGGGGTCTTGTTTGCTACACAGCACAGGAAGCCCAGACAGTCAGGGCTGCCAGATTAAGAAAAACACAACAAAGTGAAATCCCAGACACAAGGGGGCCTGCCCTCAAGGAAGCCATGGGTCGTTCTTAGGGTAAGTATATCCCCCGTAGCGTGTGGAACACACTTATTAGGCTTGGCATTCGCTTGTGTTGGCCTACATTCTCATTGGACCATGCGCGCTGCTTCTTCCCAGTAGGGCCGCCCCCTCCCACGGTCACAGGCACAGGAAGCAGAGTGAACCAGGGGCTGGCACTGCTAGAACACCCTGAGGCAGTGGGTGCAGGTGGAAAACACAAACAGCTGCTGCACCTGAGCATGGGGGTGGCCCTGGCAACCACACGCACCACCCACCCGAACAGGTGTGCCTGGCTCTGAGGTCCCGCCCTCCAGCCCAGCCCAGCTCTGAAGTAGCCAATGGGAACCACACACACCTAACAGGAAACCAGGCTGGAAAAACAACTAAGGGAAAATGAGAGGCTCCTGCGAGCTTACCAAGCACCCGCACTGGCTGTGTGAACAGTACAAAATGGGGTAAATGAGCCCAGGGGCAGAGAGTGTGCCTACCATGCCCAAGGCCCTGAGTTCCATCCCCAGTCCTACCCCAAAACAAATCACTTAAACGTACCTGGCACCTTGCCCACAGTACGTGAGTACCACCAAGATGCACAGCTGGCTTTGCCGGCTGAATGGAGGGGACCAAACCCACACATTAGAAACAAGGGACAATGAAGAAACTGGAGTTAACTTTGGCTTTCCGCCTCAGAGGGTTTGGTACCTTGCAGTGTGTGTCCTTGGACACGACACTATCCCTTTCTGGGCCTTCATAATGTACTCAGAGGGGCGTACTCTGTGCAAACCCACATGGATATTACTGCTAGTGTGTGGGAACAGAGACTCTGGACTCTTGTGTGTGGCCGCACAGCTCAACACACACGCTTGCCAGCAAGAACAGGTGGCTCGTTGGGTTCAAATTAATGAAGAAAAAAACGAGCCAAGTTTCTCAGCCGCACGGGCCACACTTGCCTCTCAGGTGTGGGAGGCTAAGGCGCTGACAGTATAGACTATATTGACTCTCCATTCTAGCGAGTGTAGACAGCCATTGAGGGAGACAGGAGGAAGGCCAAGCTGCTAAGCCAAGATGCCACAAAGGCTCGTGGCCCGCTCACAGGAAGCTTCCGGGACTGTGCTGGCTTTGTCCAAGCCCAGAAAGGCAAACAGCACCATGGATGGTAACCCCCTGCACTGGGCAAACCACAAGCCTCAGACCCCTGGGCAGGGAGCAGGAAGGGAGGGATGCAGAGGCACCAACAAAAGTTGTAACCAGGCGACTGTTGCTTGGAGACCCTCCTGCCTCAGGGAGCTGCTTGCTACCCATGGAGCTAACTTACCCACACAAGAGGCCGCAGGTGCCTCTTCCCTGAGGAAGAGGGGTTGCAGTGTACCCTCCCAAGAGAACACATCCACAATCGGTGACCATGGAAGCTGCCAGGGAACCTGCTACTCCACAGCCCATCTCCTTTCATCTGTAAGAGTTCTGCTTTTAACAAGCTATCATTTCCCAGCCTCCAATGCAGCTAGGGTTGCCCGTGTGACCCAGTTTTGGACAATGGAGTATGGGGGGGGGTGAGGCTGAATCTTTTTACATTTTATCTTCAGAGAGTGGATTTAATGGCTGGAGCAGCAACAGCCACCTAGTAATAAAGAGGCAATCAATGTCTTAAGTAGATTAATCCCCACAAGAACCCATGAAATAGGCACTATTATTTCCACACCAGCTTTCTAGATTGGGGGTTTGAGATAGAGGGAGGTTAAATGATGGGGCCAAGCTTACAGATAAAGAGCAGAGCCAGGCTTTGGGGCTGGGTGGTCTGGTGTGAGCACCCTGTTCTGGCTTCTAGAGTATGGTCCTATTCTGGGTCCTGAGACATACTCTGGGAACAGGGAGGCTTGCTATTTCCTCATGCAAACACCCCCACCACGTGTCTACAAGAAGCACATGAAGCAAGCTAAGAGGGCTACACGGTCCTGGGCTGTGTAACTGTCTAGCCCTCCATAGTGGTCAAACCACCCACTGCACACTGTTATCTAAGACATCATTCTCAGGCTCAGGAGAGGAACCCAGGTCTTTATCAGTCCCGGCATGGAGCGAGAGTGGAGTCTTGCGGCCTCGTCACCAGTGTCATTGCCCCCAGCCCCACTCCCTCAGGGGTAAGCTTGCTCTTGCTCCCCGTGGTGAAGTAGATCTCAGCAACTGTGTGAGTGGGGGTCCAAGCCTTTGTACCAGGTTCATGGTCCCTGCAGCTCCTAAGAATGTGGGGTTCCTCAAAGACAGGGATAGGATCTACTCCCATGCACCCCAGTGCCAGCTTCGGGCAGGGCCCTGGTGGGCGTGTGTCCCCAGTGCCGGGTGCTTCAGATAGAGGCAGGGCCAGGCAGGTTGAGGCGGTTAGTGGGGCTCAGTCTTGGCTCCTCCACTTCCTGATGTTAACCCCTGGCATCTGACCTGAATGCTAGAATGGAGCCACGGCTGGTTTCCTGGCCTTCAGTAAACATTAAACAAGGCAACTGTCTCTTAGGCTCTGTTAAACCTTTTAACATTGTGACATAATGCTGCTACCTACAAAGTTCAGGCCCTGGGAACTGCAATGGAGCTAACCAACAACAACAACAACAACAGACAGGTGGTGGTGGTGCAAGCCCTTAATCCCAGCACTTGGGAGGCAGAGGCAGGCGGATCTCTGTGAGTTCTGGTCTACAGAGTGAGTTCCAGGAAAAAACACCAAAACAAAACAAAAATAATATAATAGTAGTAGTAGTAGTATTTTAAAATCCCTCCAACTCTTGTAATTTTAAGTAAGTTTATCACGTCATGTTGCGCTGCATTTGTAGTAATCCTGGGGCACAGGCTGCCCATCAGCCACAGATTGGATAGAAACATTCTGGTCAGGTGTAGTTTATCACCACCAGTTTGCTTTGTTTCGAGACAGGGTCTTTTTTCATAGCTTTGCCTGTCCTGGAACTAGACTGGCTTCAAAGTCACAGAGATCCACCGGCTTCTGCCTCTCCAGTGCTGGGATTAAAAGTGTGTGCCACCATGTCTGGCTCAATTTCATGACAGAGACTGTGTCCTCTGTCTTCTTGGAGAAGGCTATGATCTCAGCACCCAAGGAACTCTGAGCCATAGCCTCCCCTGACCTGCAGGGTGAGCTAAGGGGCACGCAAGGCCTTTATGAAGGGCAGGGAAGGCAGGCTCTGTCACTAGCCTAGGGGAGACAGGAGAACAGGGCGGGGCAGAGAGAGCCTGTGTGAGGAAGTTGGACTGAGGGTGCTGCCTACCATGCACTGGCAGACACCTTGGTCACCAGCCAAGCACACACCTGC